GGGCACCCCTGAGAACTGTCTGTCCGGGGTGGGGTTCGGGTCCCTTTAAGCGCAGCCCTCGGCTAGCCTGAGACAGCATCTCCACGCTCTAAGTCCTCCTGTGATGCCCTGCCGGCACTGCTTCCGGCCATCCTTAACCCCGGTTCAGGGTCCACTTAATGTGGACATGCTAGTTCGAATTAGCAAAACGCTAATTCGAACTAGTTTTTAGTTCTAGACGCGTTAGTTCGAATTAGCGCTGTAGTGTAGACATACCCTGGGTCAGGGCCCAGAGTAGCAGGCAGGTTTGGGTGCTCATCTTCCCCACTGAACAATGTTTAGCCCCACTGTTTTGGGGCTTGGACAGAATGTGGTTTTCCCCTGAAGCGAGGGGCTAGGCTTGGAGACAACAGTCAGCAATTAGAGAAGCAGAGACACCTGACTGCCAATAACCCCTCCCTCTTACCCCACACACACACCCAGAAGGGGATGCCCTGTAATTGTTATTTTTGTGTCTCCAGGAAATGTTCCAGAAACACTTTCAATTTTCCATAAATTGATAAAATCATATTTGGCCCTAACAATTTGGTGATTCACAATTCTAAGCAATTGAATCAGCAACAACTACTCCATCTTGTCCAATCCAACTGTGTGGGGCTAACTTGGCATCATGTTGTTTGCTTCAGGCATTAACCACATCCACAAAGATGGAGTTGGTAGTATCTAGAATCGCCTCGTTAATTGGGAGGTGGTGTGCAGAATATCCCCCAATTGTGATGTGAATCTACCACCTCCTGTTGGGGGATCTATAGCTCATGTGCCATCCTCTTGGCATGATCCTCCTGTTCTGAAAAAGCTTCCTGTGCCTCTGGCTCAGGGGCTCTGCACAGCCACTCTGAGAGACAGTAGATGGCTGTAACCTGTGTTATATTGCCCAAGGATTGCAATAAGGCAATGGGGGTGTGTGGCATGGATGATGGTGTCTCATACTACGATTGTGGATGGGGTCGATGGAGCTGGGGAGGATCCTTGCATTGTAACAATAGGCCATGACTTCCTCCTGGTCACTGTCAGACTTGTCACTGGGTAGGGGTGGCACTGACTGGGGTATTGGCAGTACACAGCCTGGTTCCAGGAGTGATTTCAGGTGCCTGGATGTGCTTGGTACCAAGGCCCAGGTGCCACCTAGTGGGGATTGTGGTTCTTCCCCACACATCAGGTCTCCAGAGTACCAGAGTTCATGTGGAACTTTGGGCTCCCTGAGCACCATGACGAAATGTCCATGGTACTTTATTGGTACCAATGGTTGAGATAGTGCAGAGCACTCTCTAGGCAAGAGCTTTCTTGATCCTGAAAGTACTGAAAGTTGTTAGTGCCACACTTCTAGAAATGGCACAGCAACTCTCTTTTCCCGGGTACCAAGGCCACAGATTTCCAGGATACCAGAGCTCATGTGTTACCATGGGCTCATTTGGCACTGCAGAGGAGTGTCCGTGGTACACTGTCAGTACTGATGCTTGGGAAGGTGCAGAATACTCCCTAGACGGGAGTTCCGTTGCAACCTGGTACCAGCAGTTTTCACTGTGACTCTCTTTTCAGGACTGGATGGCAATTGTGTTAACAGTGCCTGAGAACCTGACTGCCTCTTGCTTATCATGTGTTACTACTGCAGTTTGTGCTGCAGAGCAGAGCTGCATGGGGGGAAAAGCTTCAGAGCAGTGGCTGCTGTGCTGATGCCATGATAAGCTTGTTTTCCTGTCCGTAGGGAAGGGGCAGCTCTGGGGAAACCCCCACTGGCTGCCAACCACTTGGCTTTGGTTTTTCTGTTAGTACCAAAGTGACAGCTCTGGGGAAACAAACCCCTCTGGTTGGTAATGATTCTGAACTTGCTGGAGGAATCTACTGTAGATTTCTAATGACTCTTCCCTTGTTAAGTTAAGTCTCTGGGGATAAAGTTTCAGGAGTCACCTGGGGTACGTCTAGACTACAGGCTTTCGTTGACAGAGGCTTTGTCAATAGATACTGTTGACAAAGCCTCTGTCAACAAAGAGTGTCTAGACTACATCCAGTCCAGTTCTGTCAACAAAGCAAGCTGCTTTGTCGACATGAGAGTGTAGACGTAAAGGACAGTGTAGATGTAATAACGCTTTCTGTCAACAGAACTTTATTGACAATAGGCATTATTCCTCGTAGAATGAGGATTACAGCCGTCAACAAAACTGCTGAGTTCTGTCGACATTATGTTTTGTATAGTTTTGTCGACAAAAGCCCACTTTTGTCAACAAAACCCTGTGGTCTAGATACACCCCTGAAGACTGAAGTGCCTTCTCCCTAAAGAGGAGTTTTAAACTTCAGCTCCCAGTTCGGGTGTGTCTAGACTACAGGGTTTTGTCAACAAAAGTGGGCTTTTGTCGACAAAACTATACCTGCGTCTACACTACCACCACATTCTGTCGACAGTAAGTCGACAGAACACGGCAGTTTTGTCGACGGCAGTGAACCTCATTCTACGAGGAATAAGGCACTTTTTCTATAGTACTCTGTTGAAAAAGGTGCTATTGCATGCAAACTGTGCTTTTTCGAAAGAAAGCGTCTAGACTTTCTTTCAAAAAAGTGGCTTGCTTTGTCGACAGTACTGGTTGTAGTCTAGACACTCTTTTTCGACAGAGGCTTTGTCAGTACCCTTCCTGTGGTTGTTGAAGCACTTCTATAAGGCTGTCCCAGGAATCAGAAACAGTGAGAGTGTCTGACTGTTATAGAAACTGCTTACAGGAGTGGCACCTCTCAAAGCAGGTAGAGCTAATGACCCCGGGTGGGTGTTGGGGGCAGATCAATCTCTAGCAATGAGGAATGCAGAAGCGAATATCTCCTCTTTACTCCTCCTCTTCTTTTCCTTTCTTTTCTTTTCACCAGAGGTGGGGGGAACCAGGACAGGAGATGCCCCCAGATGGGTTAAAAACCAAAGGATTTCCTCCCCCACTTTCTCCTCCTTTTTAATCCCAAGGGAGTTAAAAAAAAAAAAGGAACAGTATTAGGGAGAACAAAAGCTGCTCATTATGCTAATATTACAGGTAAGGGAGGGACAGCTGGTTTCTCTCTGTGGTGCCAAAGGCAGCTGAAAAGGAAGTGAGAGTTCTAGATAGGCTTGAGGTACATGCCCTGGCTCAACTGGCACTGCTACCAAAAACCTCCCTTTTGAGACACATATGCCTACAGTGGTGCACCCATAAGGACGCTACTTGAAGAAGAAGCTTAGTTTATTAAATGGTTTGAGAAGAAAGGTGCAATAGGCAGCATGGTCTGAGTAGAGAGAGCTGAGAGCTTTTATCTCCAGAGCTGAAGTCCCAGCTCTGCCAAGGAATCGCTATGTGTCCAAGTCATTCATACCAACATTTTCAAAGATATCATTTTCAAAGATATTAAATACTTAAATCCAGGCTGTCTTCAATCATCTCAATAAGTATTCTAATTTTCACAGATACTGTGAAATTCTGTCAATTAAAACTACATTTCTGGGGAGGGAAAGTGGAACCTCTGGACCCAGGAATACACCACAAAACCGACTATTGGAGGCATTGGATGTATAGAAACTAGATGCCTTCAGTTGCCTATTACATGTAAACACATACCTTAGGGAAACATAAGGTATAAAATACACTGCATCCACTATTTGGAATGCAATCCAAACACACCCTCAACGGTTGCATATCAGTGATGTTTCAGCTGTTCTTTAAAATATGGCATTCCCACAATTCTGGAAGGGTCACTATGGGGTAGCATGAACTGACAGCTCAAAGTGAAAGACTTTATACTCAATTTCAAAGATGTTTAGCCTCTCTGTTAAGTATGAGACAATACTCATGGACTATTCATGTGTAAAAATAAATTGAGAAGTATTCCTGTTTCAAGGATTACTGCATAGTAGCTTTATCAGCTAATAGTTTATAAAAAATGTGGCATCCAGCACTAGCATTATATTCAATAATAAGCATATAAGAATGGTCATATTGAGTCAAACCAAAGATCCATCTTGCCCTGTCTCCTGTCTTCTGACAGTGGCCAATGCCAGGGACCCCAGAGGGAATGAATAGAACAGGTAACCATCAGCTGACATATGTAAGGAGGATGGGAACACAGTGAACATGTGAACAAAAGAAACACTTGCCTGTGGCGAAGACAACATTCCTTGACACCAGTCTGTATTCCACAATGGAGAACTGCGGAAGCTCAATCCTCTCTACGCCTGTGACTGCATTATCTCCACCTCTCCAATAAAATTCTATGTCATCTGTGGTATAGCCATCTTCAAACAAAGCACAGATATCAGGAGGCAAAATAAACCCTCTATTATATTCTGCCATGAAAAATCTAGTATATAGTACTTCAGAAGATTCCAGAGAGGATGATGGCTTTGCAGCTGTAATTTTTATAAACTACTTTATTCCATAGGGTGGTTTTCAAATATATTACCATTCTAAGTTGTGCTCTTAAAGGGTTGCTTCCATTAGATTAAAGAGCTCATTAGTATTTGAGGCAAGTTTTTTATTTTGTTTTTTACTTCTGATGAAATTCAGGGGAAGAATGAAGGCAACCTGATAGCCTATAGTCAGGGTATAAATACAACCAGTATTAAGTAGAGCTCCCCCCGCCCAGTACTGACTACAGCAGTCTGCTTACAGATTGGTGTAATTTGAGATATTAAATTAACAGAAAAAGCCAGACAGTTCTATCATACAACAAACATATCAGAGAGAGAGGTCTTCTCCCATTCACACTGAAATTAGTGGTTAAACTCCCACTAATGCCAATGGGAGTGGGATTAAGTCAAGTGTAATTTACACAAAGAATTCATTAGAATGTTCTTCATGAACTATATTTTATGTATGTAGATGTTCCCTCACTTCCCATTGTGCAGTAGAAATAGAGCAATGGCTCTTGAAACAGAATTATAAAATATCGGAATATTCCAGTTATAGAAAACCAGGTTTCAAGAGCGAATCTGCTTGTGTGTAGAGCTGAACTCCAAATCATAAGTGGGCATGACGGCCAAGGAGGTCCCCTGGCAAGGCCATTCATGCATAATAAATCACATGGAAAGAAAATTGTATCTCAGTGTTTGCTGTCTTCGAAGTCAAGCTGATTAATATATGAACCTTTGTTCTCTTGTGTAGATTTGTATCCAGCCACTATCTCCACCTAATCAGTCAAGAGTGGTGAACTGTTTTATTCTTTCAATTTCCTACCACCACTTTGTATCAATACAACACGCAGCCTGAAATTAACAATTCCCTTATATTTTAAAAGCAGCATAAAATCAAACATGCCAAAGGGTGGTTGTATTAAGGAATTCACAGGTTTATTAGGCATCAGAATGACTGTTCTATGCTTGTATAGGGGAAAACAGCTCTCACAACTGAATTGGATATCATTTGTATCTTCATATATACGTACAGCTTTCTATTTCCAGTGTACAGTTCTGTTCATCTAATGGGTATCTTCTTAGGTCCATCATACAAGCTGCAGTCGTTGTGATTCTAAAATACAAACACATGGCATTACAGTAGGCAGTGACCACAGACCAGATTCGGTGGCTCTTTCTATGCTACATTGGTGTTCAGTTTTTCTTCTTCTTTGTCTTTATTTTAACTACCACACAATATGGTTTTCCTGTGGTTATGTCTTAGCAAAACTTATGTAAAGAAATAAAAACCATAGCAGCCAATAGAAGTATAGATTCAAAAGAATAATCCATATATAAATGTGATAGTACAACTTGTACATTCTCTCCAAAATCAGAATATTTTACAATCAATGTATAAACAACGAGGGCATAAGCTTTCCTGGGTGAAACCCCTGTTGTCAGATGCATGGAATTATGAATGATGCTCCCTTAAATGCTAAGACTTCTCTTTGGCTAAACACTTAAGTGTGTGCTTAAACTTAAACACATATTCAAGTTCACTACTGAATCAGGGCCAATCTGTTTATATTAATGACATCCCTCTATGTATATATCTGATGATGTGCTTTTTACCCATGAAAGCTTATGTCCAAATAAATCGTGCTTTTTACCCACGAAAGCTTATGTCCAAATAAATCTGTTAGTCTTTATGGTGCCACAGGATTCCTTGTTGTTTTGCAGGTACGGACTCACATGGCTACTCCTCTGAGACTAATCAATGTGCAGTATATATTGAAATGATCAATATGTTCAAATGATTATATATGTTTCAATTCAAAGTAATACAATACTGTATATGCATTCATTCAAAGTAAGCCACATGTAGACTCAGAAATTGAACTTAATTTTAAAAAATAGTGAATTAATATAGACACATAGGCTCTGATTCAGCAATTAACTTGAACATGTGTTTAAGCACACACTTAAGTGTTTTGTTGAAGTGAGGTCTTAGCCTTTAAGGGAACATCATCCATCTAATATTGCTTTCTTATTAAGTTCATGTTTAAACTACCTTCTGTGTTTGACTAGGTCCACATTTTAAAATCAAATTAACCTTTCTTGATATTCATAGTCACACACTTGAAAAATGGTTAATTAATTCCTAAACAAAAATCTGAATCTGAAACTTTCCTTCAGAGCGGTAGCCGTGTTAGTCTATAACTGGAAAAACTTTAAAAACAACAAATAGTCTTGCAGCACCATAGAGACTAACAAAACATGTAGCTGGAATCATGAGCTTTCATGGGCACAGCCAACTTCTTCAGATGAATGGAGTTAGAAGCAAGGCTCTGACATCACTTTCTGGGGCACGCTTTTCACATAAGTTTTCCTGAGTGCTGTTCAATGGAGGGAGTCTTTCCGATGATCCCTTTTACATGTTTTGCCTGCTGATCAATAGCTTGCTCGCCCTGATAGATGTAGGGGTTTAACACATGTCCCAGTGGGCTGGAATAGTTTAGTGAGCAGCTTCCACACCTGCTCTGTGGTTTAGGAGAAGGATTTATCTCAATCGAACATCTGCCCAGTGCCCTGCTGTCTCTTTAGGCAAGGTTGTAGGCCCAGGGTTATTCATTATGGAAGCTAAAATTGCTGCAGTATGACTGTTAGTAACTCTGATTTAACACATAAAACTAGCACCAACTAATGCACTTGGTGGGAAAAAAATCACATATTTTATCTTTGATCACTGCAGGAACATTCTAAATTTTATATTCATAACTATTATGAATTTCGCAAAGTCACAATTCTTATTAAATCACATTATTTTGCATATAATTCAAGATTGGTATTTCCAATTCAAAACAATAAGAGAAAGCAGTAATATGTAATTTTGATTATTATGCTGTTATCCCATTCTATTTTAAATGAAAAATATTTATTACATTGAACAATGGGTCACTTAGTTCCAGATCCTCCATGGCATCTGGATGGGTTAAATTAATGCAAAGCCTGAATTAGGGTCTCACAACTATTAGTGTCTTTAACTATTAGCAAATGCCAAGTAGACAGAAAATGGACATTTATAAAAGATAAATTCGGTATCTTCTTATAAATATTTCTGAAAGTTTGTTTGTCCTGAAAGATCTCAGAAATGGTAGGAGCTAGAAACACCAAATTTGGCACGTATACTCCTGATTTCCTAACTTAAATAACTGGATTGGTTATATCTTGAAGCCGGTTCCCCCGGTTCCCACAGAGCTCCAACTGGGCCCACTGATAATTCTGAAAGATCTCCGAAATGGTAAGAGCTAGAAACACCAAATTTTGCATGGATACTACTGATTTCCTAACTTCAATCAGTGGATTGGTTGATCTCTAAATCAGTTCCCCCAGAACCCCTGTTGGGCCCACTGATAATAAGCTTTTAGTAGCACCTGATCATAGGCATTTGCTGGACTCTTCTGTTAAGCATGTTGCATAAACTGCAACTACGAGATCCTAGAGGATAAAGCATGTGGCACCTGCAGTACCATCAAGGGAAAGCCTATGGGGGAGAGGTTGCAGTGGGGCAGAGAATCAGCAACCTCCCCTATCCTAGGGCAACAGCAGGTCTCCAGGACAGACCCAAATGGGGCTGATGCTGGCTGGGAACTAGCCTTGCTAATTGTGGCTGGGGGAAGCCTCCAGCTATCACAGCCTCTCAACATCTTCACGCAGCCAGGCTCCGAGTGAACCCCTTCTGGAAATTAAAGTTGCTTCCCTCCCCCCCACACCCAAAGGAGCCTTCCAACCACTCGCCCTCCTTTGGGCTGTGTGCGTTCTCCTGGCAGGGCTGTGTGTGTTATCAGCAAGTGCCACTCGGGGCATTATGCACTCTGCAGGATTCAGCTCACAGTACAAAGAGGAGATGGTAGGAGGACAAGGTTTTGAGCACCGTGGAGCCTGAAGAGGACACGGTACACTCAGAACTGCCTAGTCTCCTACAAAGAGAAGGTGGACTAGGAGTACAAGGTTTTGAGCACCGTGGAGTCTGAGGAGGACACGGTACACTCAGAACAGCCTATTCTCATTAGAACAGGTACATTCAGGTGCTGCATGCTCTGATCATCTAGATATCACTCACTGCACCTGGTCTGAAGGGGTTTTGCCTTGTCTGATCAATGCAACTGGTCCAGCTGCCGCTAGGAAGTCCATTCAAGTTGTCCCATGGAGCGTGCACTGAAGGCACTCAGGGAGTGGCTACTTGGGACACACACATACACTGCTGTTGCGGAGACCAGGAGATATCCTCTCCATTTCTCGGGGATTCTGGCAAGGAGGCTGCAGGCATTGGTTTGCATAGAGTCTTTAAGGGAAGATGGGCCTTCCTGATTTGTGGGGATTGAGAAAAGAGACCCTATGGGTTTGTTGTTTTGTAAGCACATCACTAGCTATGTTAATTTCTTAAAGTAATATATAAGAGAAAAGTATTTCCAATACATTATGCTATGTTCATGTAATTGATGTAGTTCATTCATCACACCTTTTACTATATTTTCCCCGGGCAACGCCGGATATTTCTGCTAGTATTTACTAAAAATGATGCTGCTTGCAAATTTGTATCTGCCTTCAACATATTAGGATACCTTATGTCTTTTAAGATAATGTTCTTTGTCTTAAACCCCTCAACATTTATGTATTGCAGGGTTGCAGTGTCAGGAAGAATGTGCTCCATAAAAACTATATAAGACATTTATGTACTAAATCAAGATGTGAACTTGTAAGTCCAAACATCAAACTCAAGATTTTTAAAAAAAACAGATAGGTAAATATCACATTTAGTCAAATGTACAAAATTATTTGCTGCAGTAATGTTGTTTGTGTGACCTTTCAGGTGACTTCATTTTCCTTGAATACAATCTCATGGAAAGAAAGTTTAGTTTACTCAGCTATGTGCACAAGAAGAGGGTTTTTGTTTGTTTTGTGAATGAGATACTCTCTGGTACAGCAGGATGACAAAATTCCCAGAATCCCTCAGCAGATCACTGGTAGAGAAGCAATTACATGCGCTAGAGAAAAATCAGATTACACACACACACACACACACACATACACACACACACACACACACTTTGAATGCATACAATACAGAAAGGAAAGGTTGACAATTTTCTAAAATTCCCCAAGTTAGCTTATCTCCTGGTACCGCTCTCTAAACTGCAATATTATTATTAGTAATATAAGTGTTAGTATTTATATCACTGTGTTGTTTAAAGGCTCTTAATCTGTTGTAGTAGGCACTGTACAGACACAAAGAAATAGATTTACTTAAATTCTTTGGGGAAGGACCTATTTCTTTGTGTCTGTACAGTGCCTACTACAACAGATTAAGAGCCTTTAAACAACACAGTGATATAAATACTAACACTTATATTACTAATAATAATATTGCAGTTTAGAGAGCGGTACCAGGAGATAAGCTAACTTGGGGAATTTTAGAAAATTGTCAACCTTTCCTTTCTGTATTGTATGCATTCAAAGTGTGTGTGTGTGTGTGTGTGTGTGTGTGTGTGTGTGTGTGTGTAATCTGATTTTTCTCTAGCGCATGTAATTGCTTCTCTACCAGTGATCTGCTGAGGGATTCTGGGAATTTTGTCATCCTGCTGTACCAGAGAGTATCTCATTCACAAAACAAACAAAAACCCTCTTCTTGTGCACATAGCTGAGTAAACTAAACTTTCTTTCCATGAGATTGTATTCAGTGAGCCATGTAGTCTAGACATACTCTGAAAGTCCCAATGGTTAATTTTGACATCCTGCTTGTAAGAATTATATACATCCAACTAAAGAATAGAAAGAAGGTCATGTTCTTTATCTGACCAACCATAACCAACCAATACAGCATGAATATTGAAATACTGAGTACTGAACAAAAAATAATCAAGCCACAGATTAAAATGACTTGCAAAAATTCTCATTTTAGCTGTTTATAACTTGCTCCACCACCATATTGTCTAAGAGCAAAGAAAAAAAAAAAAAAAAACAAAAAGCATCTGGTAAGCCTACAACAAGCAAGGATACTTTACTTTCTACCCCCGCTTTGTAAATAATATTATCTTTTTTGTTCGAATTATTGGTGAGGAAAAGCTGCTG